TGCTGGTTTGCTGCTGCTGCTGCTGGGCTGCTGCTGCAGCTGCTTTGCTGGTTTGCTGCTGCTGGTTGGCTGCTGCTGCTGCGGCTGCTTTGCTGGTTTGCTGCTGCTGCTGCCGCTGGTTTGCTGGTTTGCTGCTGCTGCTGCTTCTGCTGGTTTGCTGGTTTGCTGCTGCTGCTTTGCTGGTTTGCTGCTGGTGCTGCTTTGCTGCTTTGCTGGTTTGCTGCTGCTGCTTTTCTGAATTGCTGGTTTGCTGGTTTGCTGCTGCTGCTGCTGCTGCTTTGCTGGTTTGCTGGTTTGCTGCTGCTGCTGCTGCTGCGCTGCTGGTTTGCTGCTGCTGCTGCTGCTCTGCTGCTTTGCTGCTTCGCTGCTGCTTTGCTGCTGCTGCTGCTTCTTCTTCTTCTGCTGCTCTGCTGCTGCGCTGCTGCTGCTTTGCTGCTTTGCTGGTGCTGCTGCTGCTGCTGCGCTGCTGCTGCTGCTTTGCTGCTTTGCTGCTGCTTTGCTGCTGCTTTGCTGGTTTGCTTCTTTGCTGCTGCTTCTGCTTGGCTGGTTTGCTGCTGCTGCTTGGCTGGTTTGCTGCTGCTGCTGCTGCTGCTGCTTGGCTGGTTTGCTGCTGCTGCTGCTGCTGCTAATTTGCTGGTTTGCTGCTGCTGCTGCTTCTTTGCTGGTTTGCTGCTGCTGGTTTGCTGCTGGTTTGGTGCTGGTTTGCTGCTGCTGCTGCTGGTTTGCTGCTGCTGCTTTGCTGCTTTGCTGCTTCTTTGCTGCTTTGCCTTCTTTGCTGCTGCTGCTGGTGCTGCTGCTGGGCTGGTGCTGGTGCTGCTGCTGCTGCTGCAGCTGCTTTGCTGGTTTGCTGCTAGTTTGCTGCTGCTGGTTTTGCTGCTGCTGCCGCTGCTTTGCTGGTTTGCTGGTTTGCTGGTTTGCTGCTGGTTTGCTGCTGCTGCTGCTGCTTTGCTGCTTTGCTGCTTTGCTGCTTTGCTGCTGCTGCTTTGCTGGTTTGCTGCTGCTGCTGGTGCTTTGCTGGTTTGCTGCTGCTGCTGCTGCTGGCTGCTTGCTCCTGCTCAGAATCTTCCAACCTCTACCTACCTTTCGTCCACCTCCGTCGCCTCAAGTATATATCGTTAACCGGGCCCCGGTGAACCAGTGGCCTACCCAGCAACGCGAGATTGGTCGTAAACGCGTGCCAACGACGATCGAAACCCTTTTGTAAACGGACCCATCATGTCCATTTTGTCCCGCGCGCAGTGTGGTGTCAGCTAAATAGTCATTCTTTGCCCACAGCAACGTCCAAGAAAATCCAAGTTTGTTAGCGCGACATTGTCTGACTCACGAAAGCTTCGAGAACACTGAGCAGACCTGGACTGTCTTTCAAACGAGTGCCGCGCAGCATGGTCTATATATGTGGTTTCTTTTGGCTGGAGATCCACGGCCCAACCGTCAAGACTTTCCTTCTTTAATCCTTTGTCACGTTTAAGAGACCAGGAAGGGCTTATCCTTCTTGGCTGCTTGTCCACCCACCCACCCCCGCCCACCCCACCCCACCCCACCCCACCTCGTTTTAATCACACGACTAATCGATGACAATGTTGTGATGTCGACTTACCACACGGGGGTGGGTTGCACGAAGCCACACCATACGTGGGTTAACCTGATTCTGCTGGGGCAGCGCGTGCGCGTTCACGTGCAGTCGGGGTTGGTCGGGTTCAGAAACTGGGTGGTGCAGATTTAAGAAAGGCAATGTTCTTTTGCATTGTATTCAGGTTAAACTTTTGGTTTGGCAAGGTTGGGTTTTTGCTTTGTGTTTTGGTCCGCTTGCATTCATTGTTGCTTGAGTGTGCGGAGTGCATGGACATGTGTTGCATATTTGGCCCATTGTTCGCAGGAATATGATGCCGGTGGTGGGGCGCAGCCTTGGCGAAAACTTGCAAAGACTGAGGACGCTGAAAGTTCAGAGCCGAACCCCTGGAGGTTTAAAGCGGGCTCACAGCTGAAAGCGCGAAAGAGGGTTGTGGGAACCCATGTCCTGGCAGGTTGGAAAGTGTGCCTGCCTGTTAGTGTTGCTTTGATTTGGCGGTGTGGTTTGCTGGAGGGTCCACTAGCTTGGAAGACCGGAGGCTCCAACAGTCCATTCGCATGGGATGCTCTCACGAGAATGACTATTCCAGCACATCAAATTCCAAGTTTCGTGCAATTACTGCCCCAGCCCCCTGTCCCCTGCATCCGCCACCTGCGAACACTAATTTTTTGATAATCTAAGACGGGGAATTGCAGAGGGGTGGTTGGGGCAGAGGAAAGCCTGCTAGTTTAGCTGTTTCGCACTATCCCAAAAATTCATTTTTGGTGCAGAAGGTAGAGTATATAACAGCTTGTCATGCGTTAGCACGAGCACAATTCCACCCTTTGTGCTTTTGGCAGGACGGTCGCCTTCCAAACCTTGGACTGGCAGGCCCATTTCAGATGACAAGCGGCTGAGGCAGCTGAGGCCCATCTTTCGCTGCGTATGTCATAATCCAAATTGTTGTGAGCCATGTCACTGCCTTGCAGGAATTGAATCCCTTGAATCCTGTGCTGGCCATTTTGAAATTGGGCAGTTTCACCATTGTTGCACACTTCAAGCTTCAAAATGCTTCGGTAGTTAGTTTTTTTTTTGGAATCGGGTCGTGAGCATATGCAGTTTGGTGAATGCAGAGGGTTGCTATTCACGAGTGGTTCTAACATTGGCCACGTTGCGAGTGGCAAGTTTGGTAGATTCTTTTGGGTGCGTACGGTAGGCAACGCCGCATGCATACTACCAGTCTAGCACTGTTGGCCGGTACCTTCGGCCAAGCCACATGGACAGAGCGCCAATTCGTACATATATCAGATTTTCGATGCGGAGGAAACAATGCCATGCATCCCAACGAATTGCTCAGTCTTCGCGCAGAAAAGTGCTGGAGTGATTGCCCGCGATGGCCCGCATGCAGTTTCTGTGACAGAAAAGAGCAAAGGACAAGGGGCTCCACTCCTTGCAATATAAGGGTGCTGGTAGTTAAATATACCAATTAGCTACTTGTTTCTACTAGCTTCTTGTTACTACTAGTAAGGCACTTGTTACTACTAGCGTGGCACTTGTTACTACTATTAAGGGTGCTTTGCGTTCGGCCTAGCAGGGCCACAAGAAACATTGCACACATGCGGTTCCAGCAAACCACAACAAACCGCAACACCATTGTCTTGGAGCATGCCAAACACACACACACAGATATATATATATATATATATGTGTGTGTGTGTGTGTCAAGGAGAGTGAAAGCCACTGAAACAGGCATTCCTGGCAAACATCGCTGGTTTCAATTTCGAAGCGCACATCACCGACTCATGGACTTTTCCACCAGCTATCAAGTACCAGGACCACACGGATCCACACAGTCAGGCGTATGTGTGCAGAAATGAAACTGCAATTGTCGTTCGGCGGTCGGTGGAGACAGAATGCCCTTGCTGTCCTTGACCCACAGTATCTCACAGTTTGTATAGGAATCCGCCCCCTTTAAAGTGTATCCAGCAAACTTGAGCCTGTCTAGTATGCACACAAGTCTTTTTTTGGAGCAAGGGTTGCCCTCCCAACCAAGTAGTGGATTTTTTGGGCCACAGGAAGGAGAAACAAGGGACAATATTGGCAAAGGACGCTGAGAGGCGTTGTATTTGGACGGTCTACGTGAGGTGAATCTGAGAATGCCACGAAGGCACGCCGATATGCTGCATTCCACTGCTTGGTATGGAACTCCGCAACCGGTGATTCTGTGTGCAAGCACCAAAAGCTGCACACAAACGATTTTGGCAAGGTGCATTCTTTTTGGCGTTTTTGTGTCCCTTTGATTTGTGTTGGGTGCGACTTGGGGCTCACAGGCTTTCCACCACAGTGACCAAGTGCTACATGTGCTGCCTCGATGCAAGCCCAAACAGGACATCTTTAGAGTTGAGCAGCACTTTCCCACAGCCTCCTGCAGAAAACAACGCAACAAAAAGTTCCCGCAGGGCGCCTGATAGCATGCTCGGCTCTAGCACCTAAAGCTGTCAATGTGCTCCCACCGTGCCACTTGCAGCTCGCTCTGCCAGTTGCCAGCCAACAGGTGCCAAAGCAGCTTGGCTTGCTTCGGGTTGGTAGCTGTAGGTATAGACCATGTTTGAACGTGCAAGACGCGAGCAGCAAAGTTAGCAAAGGGTGGTAATCTTGGGCATGGACCAGCTTGTAGTCCAAAAGTTTCGCACCATCTCACCACACGACGAGAAAAACCAACTCTCCACGAAGAACATGTGCACCAAACACAACCATTGCTTTTATTTGATCACGGCAGCAAGCCCAAAGAATGAAACAAACTTGTGTGCTTCAGGGCTGGAAACTGGTTGTAGCAATTACTGTGCTTGTAGATTTTCTTGTTTGCTATAGCTTTCGGTCCCTGACCTGATGTGGAAGTTTGTCTGTGCGCCTTCGATGGAATCTCTGCAACCATTTTGGGTTGCAGAGCGACACTGGAAGAGTTGGTGAGCACTTGCAAGGATGTCCGAGTTTAATTCTGACATCCGTGTCGTGTGAGCCGAGCCAGTGAGAAAGGGCAAGCAACATGGGCCTCACATTTCTTGGTCTAGGCTTCTTGTCAGGCTGTTGGGGACGCAGCTGTGTGTTTGTTGAAGCAGCACCTGCTGTTGCCTGGAGGTATGTAAGCTTGCATGTCATCGGTGTTTTTGAGGATGGGCGTGGAAGACCATGAACTTGTTCATCCAGACGCGATCTCACCAACCCTTCGATGCCCCATTTGCACCGATGTGTTGCTCAGTGCAATTGTGGAGGGGTGGCAACAAAAGGGGAAATTGGTGGAAACAGCACTTTGGAGTGACCGGAGGCGTATTCAGTGAATTGCAGGTTTGAAGAGCCTGTTTCATGCAGCGCTTGTCAGCAGGTCTCTTGGCTGAAGCATGAGAAGAAGCGACTAGGTTGTAACTTGCTAATAGTTTGACCACCCAGACACAAGTTTTACAAAGTTGTGCAGCAACAAACAAGCAGTTTGTTGAATTAGGTCTTTTGCAAGACTTGCATCGAGCATGTTTTGCTGACTTGCAAGCCTGCGTGTCCTACCTGCCGAGCACCTTTGACAAAGAGCTTGCAGTACCTTCGCCTCATTTCGTGGAGATGCTTTGGTCAGTTTGGGGGTCTTTAGTGGGGACACATGCGTAGAAGTAGCATGGGAAGCCTGCCCCACGTGCGATGCAAGGCCTAATTTCTTGGTGCGATCTTTGCTCAACGAGCTTCATGTGCGGTGTGTACATCCGGGTTGCTACTGGACTGGTCGGCTGGATGAGCGGGCAGCTCATGGTACCCATTGCTTGGCCCGTCACCTGCTTTTGATGCAGGCACCTGGCCGTCGTAGCTCACCTTTGTGAGAAATTCATGCTTTCATGCTTTCTAGGGCCCAATTTCCTTTGATTGCGTGCAACTATGGAACTTGCAAGAAAGAAGACTATATACCCCACAAAAGACAAACATTTGCAGAACTGATTTCTGCCTTTGAGACGTAGCATCCTTGCCTGATTGTGTTCGCCTCTGTGCCAAACTGTCGGCCAAAATGCCTGCCAGCCGACCACCTGCTGCTTTTAGAGACTGGACAGCAGCCAGATACAGGTTAGAACACGGATCCAGGTCAGAAGGGCAACCGCAGAAATGATTGAAAGGAACGATGATGTGGAGGGTGTCTGGCACATTTTGGTTTTAAATTTTAGAGCATCTCTGATGGGTTACTGTTTAGTCTGCAGCCTGAGAATAGTTTGGAGCTGACCGGCCCCAGACCCCTGCGCAACTCTTGAAAAATGACTCGCTAGGGCAAAGGTAATCGGTAGCGAAATTCCATGCCTTGTCGCCTTGTGGCGCTAGAAAAAGCTATGTCTCAAAAAGCGTGCAACACATTCAATGATTTGCGCAACAGACATTCAGGACACTTCTTGCGTCCAAACAAAGCAGCCAACCTTGGGCTTTTCCCGTGTTGCCCTTGGGCTCACCGCCCAGAACCCCCGGCTAGTGGTTCGTGAGACCCTGTTGACCGAAGGGCAGCCAGGCGGTGTGAGACACTTCAGACAAAGCTTCACCGAGCCGCAGGGTCTCAAACTGAGCTGTGCCTCACTTCCAACAACGCTGCACACATTTCCAACGCGTTTTGCTTTGCGAGATGCAACACGCTCCAAAGCGAGAAACATTTCAGCAAGCAATTATATATATAGTTCAGGTGAAGCTGCAGGAATCCAAAGCAGCTTCGGACGAACGTTATGCTTTACGAACACAAGCATTCTGATTCTGGTCTCTCATCATAGCAGTGATGGAGGAGCTGATGCCTCAACGTGCAAACCAATCCAAGTGGGATGGGTAACCCCCAATGTCCATCGCAGAAGGAACAGGCATCGCAAACTGCATTCAACTCCGGATTTCACAGCCGCACCGTTTCAGTACAGTGTTCCTACTGTATGAGTTGCAGGCTGAGTCTGCACGCAGGAGTGGAAGATTCAACTGGAGAATATGCGCTCAGTGCTGGTGGATGGGGAAAAGGAAAGAAGTGCAATGCGGCGACACATAGAGCTCCTGTCCAGCCACAAAATGCAGCTGGAGGAAGAGGCGTTGTGCACATGTGTTCCTGGGGTGTTTGTTATTACTATTATATATTATATATTCTTATTGTGATTTTTTATTGTTCCGGTCCTGTGCGCAGGCCAAGGTGCAGCAACTGCAGCTCAATGCAAAGCAGCACATGCTAGACTTCAAGCAGCAGGAAGTGGACGAGTTGAGATGCCAGATCGGGCAAGTTATGAAGCAGCACCATGCTAGCCACTTTCAGCTACATTCTTTGTTCCCACTTCTATTTTTGTTTCTTTTTGTGCTACATGTGTGGTTCTTCTATGACATTTTGCCAGCAGTGCTCGGAATCCGAGATTGTGTATTGTCAACTCAAGTGGCCTACAGAGGTTGGTCATAGTCTGATGCATAAAGCGTCGGCACGGGTGAAATCCAGATGTGATTTCTTGGGGTTCCACAGGGCAGCTAATTCAAGCCTGATGAGCCTTCTTGGACTTTCTTCTCCCAGGAATTGTGTTCGTATCCAAGAGCTGTGGCTTTGTGTGTTGCTTCGTGAGTTTCGGTATTGGGCAGAAGGTGTGTCCAAATGGGGCATTTTGTATAGCGCAATTGGCTTCGTTTTGGTGCAGGGCTTGGAACTTGGCGCTGCCAACGGTTAACAAAACTGGAGGTTGATTGAGAGAGAGAGAGAGAGAGGGAGGGCAAGAGAGTGAGAGAGATATTCTCAAATGAATCAGATGTGATGACAGAAACAACTTGACGAAATTGCCGCTGAGAGACTTTCCAAGCAGTTGGGGCACACCACGGGTGTGCCCCTCGGCGGCCCTTTAGGGCCCATTCAGCGGCACGTTTGCACTTGAGGCCAGATACAGCAGAGACAAGAATCTGGTGTTTCCAAGTGCCAGAAGGGCGCGGTGCTGTGTTTCATAGTGGGATGTGGACAAATTTCATGTTTCGCTGTGTCAGGTCCTTGCACCTTCCCGCTGCACCCCAGCGGGCTGAGTGACTACACCTATGTTTGGTCAGGCCCCCCAAGGAGGCTTTGGAGGCTTCGGCAACACTGGTGGCGGCCTTTTTGGTTTGGGACTTATAAGTACATGGGGTGCCTTTTGAACATAGCAAGAGTGTATGTATATTTTGCAAGATCGCACTGCCTCCGATTCAGGTGCCAACACTGGTGGGGGCATGTTTGGAGCCAACAGTGGCGGTGGCATGTTTGGGAACACTGGAGGTGGCCTCTTTGGTGGAGGGCAGAGCAGCCCATTTGGGAGCACCGGTGGCGGAATGTTTGGAGCACAGCCCAACTCTGGCGGCATCTTCGGAGGCCAAGGCGCTCAAGGCGCACAAGGTGGCCTCTTCGGGGGCTTTGGGCAAAGCCAGGCTTCAGGAGGATTATTTGGGCAACAGCCAGCACCAGCAGGTGGCTTGTTTGGCCAGAGTTCCGGTGGTGGCCTCTTTGGTGGCCAAGCAAGTTCTGGAGGTCTCTTTGGGCAACCTATGCAGCCTGCTCAAGGTGGCATGTTTGGAGGTGGTGGCTTTGGGGGTGCACCTGGAACAACCACCAAAATGCAGGATATTATTGATCAGGAAACTAAATTAAAGTATGCACACATTGGCGTCATGGACTGCTACAAGAACAAGTCCTTTGAGGAGTTGGACCCCCAGTTGGTTGCAAAGCTGTTGTGTGTTTGCTTGTGTGTGCACGTGTGCAGTGGATTGAGTTTCTTTCGCGGAAGGCTACGCATGGAGGACTACCAAGCCAACCGTTTACAAGCAGGCCAAGGCAGGGTGCAAGTTGAAGGACTCGAAAGGAAGGCACCCTTCTGAATTTGTTTCGGTGTTACGATTATGTTGAAAGGACTTCCTGATACAAAAGCATAGAATTTGCCTAGGGCCCAGCGTGTGCTTGACACTGGAGTTGCAGGAGCTCAGGCAGCTCCAAGTGCTTCGGGCGGCTTGTTTGGCCAGAGCTCCAGCCCTTTTGGAGCCCAGTCCTCTGGAGGTCTATTTGGAGGAGGCGTGGATTATGATCACAGACAGGTTCGAAGCTCAAGACATGTTGAGGTGACGAGTAGTGAGTAGTCTTTGTTTCGCGAGTCTAAATTGTTCATAACTTGTGCTGAAGTCTCCTTGCTGTGAGGCGGCCTCTTCGGTCAGACCGGTGGGGGCTTGTTTGGTCAGAGTTCAGGAGGTGGTCTTTTTGGCCAGAGCAGCAGCGGAGGTTTGTTCGGAGCAAACACAGGTGGTGGGCTATTTGGCCAGAACACCGGAGGCGGCATGTTCGGAGGCAACACTGGCGGTGGCCTTTTCGGCCAAAACACAGGCGGCGGGCTATTCGGCCAGTCCAGCGGCGGTGGCCTGTTTGGTGCAAACACGGGAGGTAGCATGTTCGGTCAGAACACAGGTGGAGGGCTCTTTGGCAATACAGGGGGGGGAGGCCTCTTTGGTGGGCAGAACGCAGGTGGAGGATTATTCGGACAGAACTCAGGTGGGGGTTTGTTTGGAGCAAATGCCGGTGGTGGCCTCTTCGGAGCAAACACAGGTGGGGGCGGCCTTTTCGGAGGGAACAGCGGAGGCTTTGGACAGACAGGGGGTGGCCTCTTTGCTCAAAGCAGTGGTGGTTTATTTGGCGCAAGACCTCAGAGTGGCGGTCTATTTGGTGCAAGTTCTGGCTGGCTCCTTATTTGTTGTCCAGACATGCGGAGCATCCTGAGTCTGACTCCTAAACTTCTAGATCACAAAAACGCAAACACTCACAACACGTCGCGTTGTTGTCGCGTGGACCCCCGTTTGACACAAACATCCGGCTGTTGGAGGAAGCTTTTGGAACAGGGCTTGGATGGATGGACAAAGTATCTGTTTTTTGTGAAACTTGGGATTTGATCTTGAAGCACTTGCCTACGAGAGAAGAGTGTCCGACACGAGTGTGTGACGAGAGTGTCCCACAAGAGTGTCCCACAAGAGCGTGGAGTGTCCCACACGAATGTGTGCGTGTGACGAGAGTGTCCCACAAGAGTGGCCTACAAGAGTGTCCAGCAAGACTGTACTATATAGAGTTACTAGTTACTAGAGGAGCGTGTCACCACAGAATCCTGTTCAAGGGTGTTTTTGAAGGCTGTCAAGCAAGAGCGTCAAACAACATTTGGCCCTTTGTGCTTGCTTACGGGTGCATTTGGCCTTGCGGGGTTCTATCAGGTTTCCTTCTTGTTGCTCGTTTGCGTAGTCAGCAAGACACAGTCCCGGCCAGTCTGACCGCATGCATTTCCAAGCTTTGGTCGCAGATTCTGGACCTTCAAAAGGCAACGCAGCCAGTTTTAGGCATACTTAATCATTCCCGCAAGAAACCCTAAACAGTGATAGATCAAATCAGGAAGGGGGTCTTTCCATACTATATCTACAGCCAGCCCTGCCTGGGTAAACCCACGCACCAGGCAGTCACAACAATACACATCAGAGTGCACATAAACACGTATATACACAAATGCACCACACATCACATATCAGCGCACACATGTAAGAGAGCGCGCACACACTCATGGATATGCGTACTGACTTGATAGCGGTGCCACACGCCGGCCTAGGGTACCAATTCCTAAGAGTACGAGTAAGAACCACGGAGCCTCGGGGTCTTCAAGAGGAAGTAGGGCCAAAGTCTCAAGATCGAAGGCGACGATCAAGTCGACATGACGACGTACGTACGCTCTTGACTGCCAAATGCATTAGCCCTTTACCAAAGGTTAAAAATTGTGCAGGTACAAGTGGTTGATCAGACCACTCATCCACCGAAATGCCATAGCTTCGTTGGACTGGATAGGCAAATCGGCTCCAGTCCCCCTGCTAAAAGTTCAAATCATTTCAAACCAATCCGGAGGATCCCTATGATTCCAAGGGGTACACACACACACTTATTGAATTGCGTACGGATTTGGTTGCGGTTGTTAAAAAAGAAGCCTGAGTAAAACGAGGCACGAAAGTTGGTCATCGCTCTTAGGTTGGAGGCCGTCGAAGGCAGGTTGAGGGGCCATCGCTAGTAGGTTGGTGACAAGAAACAAGACAGCAAAACAGTCAAAGTTGGAGGTCCTCTCTCTTTTAGGTTGGAGGCCATCGAAGGCAGGTTGAGGGGCCATCGCTAGTAAGTTGGTGACAAGAGCCGAAACTGTAAAACCATCAAAGTTGGGGGTCTTCGCTCTTAGGTCGGAGGCCGTCGAAGGCAGGTTGGGGGCCATCGCTAGTAGGTTGGCGACAAGAAGCACAAGAAACACAAGACAGCCAAGGTTAGAGGCCAATGCTAGTGGGTGGAGGCCAACGATTTCAGGTTGAAGGACAACGTTACAAGTTTGGAGGCCTACCTGCAAACCTATAGAGTAGAAGAGAGGAAAAACAGAAGGAAAGGCACCGACACACAAGTGTGTCGAGTACCATTCCCTTCTGTTTTCCCAAATAGTGGAGCAGGCACACAGAGCTGATCAGGCCCTGCATCCCCCTCTTGTCCACAGCTTCATTGCGAGTGGTAGGACAAGAGGGCCACACGCCCCTGCTCCAAACCAAAAGGTTCCCTGTGAGGTGAAGGGTTTCACACCCCCCCCCAAAGGGAGGCATGCTTGGCCTCCATCCTGCCCGGCAAGGAGGCACCCCCATCCTGCCCGGAAAGGGGGTTATGCGAAGCACATGTGCACGCAAAGGAGACAGATGAAAAAGAAAAGGAAAGAGACAAGACAGACAAAAAGTGTGTGTGTGTGGTTGCCGATGAAGTGGAACCAAGTGAAGAGGGACAACCGATGAGCCAAACCTCATTGTAACAAACCTGAGGCACCTGAATCTAGTTTCAAGCAGAATACGCGTGTGTGTATGTGTACAAACTAAGGCCCGGGCGAAAGTGCGCGCAAGAGAAAAGAAAGGTTGAGGATGACGAGACATGAAGACAGAAGGACCTGAAAGAAAAGAAGGAAAGACGTCCGTGGGGGCCAATGAAGAGGGGAACCAAATGAAAGGGGCCAAACCGATGACAGACCAAACCTCATTGAAGAGAAGCCTTGTTTGCTTGTAGGCACGCCGCGCGCGAGAAAGGAGGGGGGGAAGGGGGAAGAATCGAAGGTGTTCCCAGCTACGACTCAAGTGTCCAAGGACACACCAAAAAGGAAGGGCTCCCAGCTATGACGAAAACATCCAGGGACACCCAAGCAAGAAAGGGAAACAGTGAGAGAGAGAGAGAGAAAGAGAAAGAGAAAGAGAAAGATACAGGGAAAGGAAAGAGGAGGAGAAAGAGAAGGGAAGAAGGGAGAGGGGACAGGTGTTCCCAGCTACGAGCAAGCGTCCAGGGACACACCAGGGGGAGGGGGGAACCTGAGTGCTGCATTCAGGAACACACCAAAATGGCAAAGAAGAGAGGGGAAGGGGAGGAAGGAGGGCAGGTTCCAATGAACCTTCAACTTGCTTTGACCGCTATGGTCACCTTGTGCCGTGCCAAAATGGCTGGCTGCTCTGACTGCTGTGGTCACCTAAAGGCGTGCCAAAATGGCGGCCAGCTTGGAATTCAATAATCCGTCAAGTCTTGGCAAATAACTTTGGCTTAAGCGTCCTACGCTCGCGTATCCGGGCAGGGGGTACGTTGGACAAACCCCGGTCGACAGGTTCACAGGGGGCACTCTGTGGGCTCACCCTGGCCTCTCAAAATGGGCTCTCACGAGGAGAGGCACACTTATTGAATTGCGTACGGATTTGGTTGCGGTTGCCACGCGCCAACCTAGGTTAAAAAAGAAGCCTGAGTAAAACGAGGCGCGAAAGTTGGAGGTCATCGCTCTTAGGTTGGAGGCCGTCGAAGGCAGGTTGAGGGGCCATCGCTAGTAGGTTGGCGGCAAGAAGCAAGACAGCAAAACAGTCAAAGTTGGAGGTCCTCTCTCTTAGGTTGGAGGCCATCGAAGGCAGGTTGAGGGGCCGTCGCTAGTAAGTTGGTGACAAGAACCGAAACTGCAAAACCGTCAAAGTCGGTGGTCTTTGCTCTTTGGTTGGAGGCCGTCGAAGCAGGTTGAGGGGCCATCCCTAGTAGGTTGGTGACAAGAAGCGCAAGAAACACAAGACAGCCAAGGTTAGAGGCCAATGCTATAGTGGGTGGAGGCCAACGAATTCAGGTTGAAGGACAACGTTACAAGTTTGGAGGCCTACCTGCAAACCTATAGAGTAGAAGAGAGGAAAAACAGAAGGAAAGGCACTGACACACAAGTGTGTCGAGTACCATTCCCTTCTGTTTTCCCAAATAGTGGAGCAGGTACACAGAGCTGATCAGGCCCTGCATCCCCCTCTTGTCCACAGCTTCATTGCGAGTGGTAGGACAAGAGGGCCACACGCCCCTGCTCCAAACCAAAAGGTTCCCTGTGAGCCCAAGGGCTTCGCGCGCGCACACACACACACACACTTAGTCACAGGGTTTACAGTTTCCATAATCCACAGTGAAATGGATGTGGGAACGGCAATGCGCAAAATCGGCCCAAGTGAAGTGTTCAACAATGTTGCGCGTGACTGCGGAAAGCTGCGGTGGCATCGCGCAAACGCGGTGGAGGGACATGTTTTGGGGGTATCGTGAAACAACCATGGAAGCAAACCGCAGCGTGGGAAAAAGTTGAGTCATACCATCCGCAGGTACGTGAGTCAAGCGTTCTTGACTCATAGAGTCATGACTGTTGCGTTCAGCGGGGCGGCTGCTTGTTTGTTTGGTTGAATTTGATTGTCAGCATTGTTCTTTGTTGCCCCATCGGACTGGAGCAAACGGGGTCAGACTGACATGTCCCCAGCTGGAAGGAAGGGCGGTCTGCTGCGCGGCTTTTTGGTAAATTGAGCGGTTGGGAGACAGAGGAAGAGTTTCAGCCAGCGTTTTGGTTGTTGTCAAGGAGAGAGGAGAGAGGAGAGAGGAAAGAGGGGTGCGGTTGCCAACTGCACAGTGAAAGGCACAGGTCGCAGTTGAAATTCATGGTGCTGGGAGGATGCTGTGGTGTGGTCGTAAGCGCGCCGCGGCTCGGCAGCACGGCGGCGCTGCGCAGGTAAACGGCAATGACGGTGTCTTTAAAACCTAAAAAGCCTTAGAAAAAAGAAGACAGGAAGACAGAAAGAGCAAAAAGAAGAGGGCAAGAGAGAAAGATAGGTGTAGTGCCGTGCAGATCTGTCGAGCAAAAGTGCCGAACGAACGGCAAATTAAGGGGTCAGACGCCTGTACCCCCTGCATTCTTGTCTTCGCGCGCGATCAGTATTGCTCTTTGTTGCTCCATCGAACCGAGTGACTACTTAGCACTTGACTACTTAGCCTTTGACCAAAAAAACAGGGGCAGGGAAACGAGCATCAAGAACCACCTAACGAGCCGCAAAGAACACCTAGAAAACGAAGAAAGCGCAAGAGAGAAAGGGGGGAGAGGAAGGGGGTGTATGTCCATGTGTGTGTGTGTGCATGTGTATGTTTACCGTAAGCCCGGCGGCGTAGAATCCGTAGCTCGGCAGCTTTGCGATCAGAAGATTCATGGGTGAGACAAAGGCGAGCCAGTAACCTGATTCACGAATGCAAGGCAGCCAAACCACATGAACCACCATGAAAGCAAACCACAGCGAGAACAACAGGTAACCAGTTTGGCAGGTACGTTCACACAGGCCCCAGAGGAGGTCTTCGTTGGCCACCGCTCCTCTGGGGCCCCGGTGGCCCCCTGCTGCACAAGGAAAACAACTGTGAAGCTAAAACAATCCGAAAGGATCCCTATGATTCCAAGGGTTACACACACTCATGGATATGCGTACTGACTTGATTGCGGTGCCACACGCCGGCCTAAGAGACCCAAATCCTGAAAAACCAGGTGAAGGGGACCAGAGTTCCTGTAGTTAAAGGCCACGAACCGACGAGGCGACAGGTTGACGGCGTTCCGTGCATGTCTGCAGCTATTGAGGTCCTGGGCTTAGCCTCATGCCATTCAGTACAAGGAAAAAGCAGGTACGTGAGTCAGGCGTCCCTGACTCATATCACAGGAAATCCATTGTGTCTTCGTTGGATGCCTGCCGACCATCCAAATCCCCGGCATCCCCCTGCGATAAAACAAAAAAATAAATGCAAAAGCATCCCTATGACCCCAAGGGTTACACACACACGCCTCCGCGAGGGGAGGCATCTCTGCCCTAGAGCGTCCTTGCGCCTAGTAGTAAGGCCAGGAACCCCTAGAAGCGCCAAAGTAGCGTCCTAGTAGAAAGGCCAGGAGCCCCTAGTAGCAACCCACACTAAGGTCCCGACGGGAGGAAGGGGTAGGGAGAGAAGAGAAAAAGAAAGAGAAGAAAGAAAAGGGGAAGAAGGTGTTCCCAGCTACGACACAAGCGTCCAGGGACACACCAAAGGAAGAAAGGAAAAGGGTTCCCAGCTATGACGAAAGCACCCAGGGACACCCAAGGAAGAGGGAAAAGAGAGGAAAGAGAGAAGGAAAGAAAGAGAGAGGGAGAGAGAGGGAGAGGAGAGAAAGGAAGGTGTTCCCAGCTACGAACAATCGTCCAGGGACACACCAAAGAAAGAGAGGGGAGATCCTGAGTATTCCATTCAGGAAAACCCCAGAAAGCAAAGAAAGAAAGGGGAAGGGAAGGGGGAGGAGGGGGGGACTAAGCTCGCGACAGGTTCCAATGAACCTCAAAATACTTTGACCGCTCTGGTCACCTTGCGCCCTGCCGAAATGGCTGGCTGCTTTGACCGCTGCGGTCACGTAAAGGCATGAGCCAACTTGGAATTCCAAAGATGGGACAAAAATCATCGGACGTACGGCCTAGGCCACCTACGCTCGCTGCGAGCTGCTCTGTATCCGGGCAATGGATACTGTCGACATACACCCGTTCGACGGGTCCACGGGAGGCACTCTGCGGGCTCATCGGGTTGGCGCGAAGCCAAACACACTCATGGATATGCGTACTGACTTGATTGCGGTGCCACACGCCGGCCTAAGAGACCCAAATCCTGAAAAACCAGGTGAAGGGGACCAGAGTTCCTGTAGTTAAAGGCCACGAACCGACGAGGCGACAGGTTGACGGCGTTCCGTGCATGTCTGCAGCTAGGCGTCCCTGACTCATACCACAGGAAATCCATGGTGTCTTCGTTGGACGCCGACCATGGAAATACCCGGCACCCCCCTGCGATAAAACAAAAAAAATAAATGCAAAAGCATCCCTATGACTCCAAGGGTTACACACACACACACACACGCACATGAGAGCACATATTGAAGGCGCAATATGAAAATGCAAAATCCACATGTCGTGGTGCGCCTGCCACCACATCTGCACTTCAAACTCCACAAAGCGCTGCGCCTGCCACGACATTTGCACATTGAAGTGAAACCGCTCCGACCTCTTGCACCTGCCGGGAGAAGTCGTCTTCGGACTGCCAAAGCAAAAGGTTTCCCTTGCCCCTGCCATGAAAAGCCACCAAGTCCGAAAAGATGTGCGCGGCAGAAGATCGGCCATAACCCCTTGGGCATTTGGGCCACCTGCTGATTCGATGGTTTGGCACGGGGGCTTGTGCCAGAACGCCGCATTCAGAACAGCCTCGGGCAGGGTAGCAAGGGAATGGAACTTGTGTCGATGGAACCCCTGCACAGCTTGGCCCAAGAAACTTCAGCCGAATCTGAAGATTTTTGCAGAAGATGCCGTGCCACATCTAATTGCAGGAACGGTTCCTTTGGCGACACCTCGGGCTGTGATAAATGACATGACAGGGATTCGCTCGTCCATCCCGTTCCGCCCCAACAAGTCTCCACACATCGACTACCAAATGGACCCTAACTGTCCTAACACTAAGCCCCACATGTGAGGCCCACCTTGTGGGATCATTGTCATAGTCATTCCTTCCCCGAAAAGCTTTCAAGGCTGAGCATAGAGCCGCATAATGTATGTCTACGGGCAGTGGGTTGGACTGGCCTCCGAAACTGCCAGCTTGGAAATCGTGTCCCATCTGCTTGGGTATCAGGAATTTGGCGACTTGCAACAAGACATTGTGTGGACTGGACCCTTCAGTTCTCGAACATGCTCACAAGGGCGAAACAGCAACATGTCGGGAAGGGAAAATTCAGCGCATTGGCCAACAAGCCTCATTGGCAGGCCTAGCTGCCTGCTGTGCAGTTGAGAGCCTTCTCATGTGCCCAGGCAATTTGGAACATATCCAAACGGACAAAAAACACCTGATTGACGTTTTTTGCACCGTTCGAGCTCCAGTCTTGCCCACCCATGTGCCCAAAACCATAGAGCAAACTATTCAGAAGGCGGCGCGTAGAGAACACCGCGAGCAAATATATCTTGCACGTTGCGCCCTGCCCTGCCTGAGGTGAAGAGTCCCAAATCTTGAGCACGGAAAACGTGGTGTTCCAAAGATGGGGGAAATTGCTTGTGAAACAAATGGCAGTGACGATCCCATGAAACTGATGACAGCCTTCTGAAATCCACGGCGATCCTACGAAATCAGCGTGGTGCTGGAAAAAGACACCTGGCCCCTTCAGCGCCCCACTTCGGGCAAAACCAACTGAAACATGCAAATGCTCGGAGACCTCAACAAACGAAAGAGTGCTACTATGTCACAAGCAGATGGGTTTGGACAGCTGGTTGTAGTTGGCTGAGGTGGCGGCCTGTTTGGTGGCAGTGGTGGCGGACTTTTCGGCAACACTGGTGGAGGACTATTTGGCCAAAACACTGGAGGAGGACTTTTTGGCCAGAACAGTGGTGGAGGCCTGTTTGGTGCGAACGCCGGAGGAGGACTCTTCGGTCAAAACAGCGGTGGTGGCCTTTTCGGACAGAGCAGTGGTGGAGGACTGTTTGGCAGCAACACTGGCGGAGGCTTATTGGGAAACACAGGTGGTGGCATGTTTGGAGGTAACTCGGGTGGGTTATTTGGAAACAGTGGCGGTGGAGGCTTGTTTGGAAATTCAGGGGGGGGTCTTTTCGGAAAGACAAGTGGAGGAGGATTGTTCGGTGCTAGTTCCACCGGCGGCCTTTTCGGCGCAACTGGCGGAGGGTTGTTTGGAAACACTGGTGGTGGGCTCTTCGGCGCCAGCCAAGGAGGCCTTTTCGGGAATGCCCAGGGAGGGCTTGGCAACTCCACAGGGCTGTTTATGAACTCCGGTGGGGGGCTTTTTGGCGCCAGTGCTGGCGGGATGTTGGGTGGTTCAGGAGGTCTTTTCGGAAATCCGCAGATGCCTCTTGGCACGGGCGCGATGTCGCCCGGTGACCCATATGGTTTGAGCGGGTTGGTGACAGCTAACCAAACTCCTCCACGGCCGCTGGGATTGACAGTGCCAAAGACGCCATCAAAAGCAACTTCTGCATATCTGTGGAAGTCGCAGCCTGAATCAGCAGCCAGGGCCAGGCACTCAGAGAGAAAAAAAGAGAGAGCCGCTTGTAAAGCTTCAATGACTAGACTCACCTTTCATTTATGCAGCTTTAGCCGTGCCATGTTTGTGATTGTTCAAACAAGTGGTGCCTGCTTATAAAGATTTGATTGATAGAGCACAGCAGTCTACGAACCTAGATGATCTGAAAGTTGAACTGGAAAGGAAGGACTGAATATATGATTTGTCAATGTAAGTGCAGTAACATGGCAACGTTATATGTATAGATAGTACGTGCTGTGAACCGACCTTTGGCTCAAGGCCCCCATTGGCGGAAAAGAAGCGCATCGCTTTGATTGAAGCTTATGGACACATAGGATAGCCGTAGAACTTTCAAGAAACCAGGGTTAATATCCACTCGCAGGTTATCAGCCGTAGCCGCTCAGTTACGAGAATTGAAGAGACCGAAAGAGAAGATTGTCGACGTTTGGCCTGCAATGTCTAGTTCCGGAGGAAAGAGCAGTGAACAGTTTTCCTTTGCCGCGCCTGGAGGAGCTATGGCTATGTCACAACCGTCGCCAGGATCAATGACTGGTGCGAGTTCAGCAGACGCTACAGTAATGACTATGCCGACAGGATCTCAAGTATCGGGTGAAGGTGGAGTCGTTCACCGGAACAGACTACTGGATCTGATGCGAGAATGGGCAACGCAAAGAGAACTATATACAGAGATTCACGAGATCGACTTCGCCAAGAACGAATCTTGCCAGGTCACCGAAGAGAAGCGTTGAGAGAGTAGAGGTCGAAGATGCAAAAGGTATGGAAGAAAGAGAGTTTCAACTCAGCGAGGAACTACGTTCAGCCAAGATTTCGCACTACGCAACTTGACGTGGTGAAAACCAAGATGGGAGACATGACCAGTGAGTTACAGAGCGCTTCCAAATGCGAAGGTTAGAGCTGCAGGACGAGACTGGCAACATGTTGGAAGTGGCCCAGAGGGAAAGAGAGAGACAATCGAGCAGTGAAATGCAACAAAGACAATTGGTCGATGAGGTGATGGAAACATCTGGACAACAAAACCAGGAACAAGGGATGGTTGAACACCTTCGTGGACAAGTGGCACTGATTAAGGGATCGGAACTTGAACTCAGCGCTAGTGCCGAGATGAATGCCCGTGATGTTGATCAGAAGTCCGAAATCCACGGATACCAGTTGAAGATCACCGAGAAGGAGTTGAGAGCAAAGCAATTTCAATATGAAGCAAGGGTGACGAGTGAAGCTACAAAGAAGCTGGAAATAGCAATGAACAACTCACATCGGAAAGCTAAAGAGGAACAGCAACAGCTAAAGGATGCAAACCTCGCTCTCAGAAGCTAACAGAGTGTTGAGGAGAGAAAACCTTTTGAATACTCCCGCCTTTGATGGCGCTGGAGGAGCGGAAAGCAAGGCAAGGATCCAGGAGCTGGAAGAAAAGAAACCGAGAAGGAGTTGTGGGAAACAAAGCCGGAGAACGCGCAGATGAAAGCTAAACTTCGCCATGGTCAAACGTACACCGATCGTGGTCGAGACGGTGGTCATGGGGGACGAGGGATACCAACCTATCGACCCGATGACGAAGAAGGCACACGTCTGAGAGAAGATGTCAAATACTACGAAGGAGAAGCCCATAGACTGAGGAATGATCGCGATGAGATGTATGAATGGTATGAAGAAGCCTTTGCAAGCTATACTGAGGAATATGAGGAAGTCGAAGAACAAGAAGCTCTAAACACAGTGCTAAGGAATCAGTTATCCGAGGCATCTTCAGCGTATCGCAACATCGAAGGCTTCCAGGAAAGTGAATGTGCCTCCTTGGCCCAAGATCAACGATCTAGGTCTTTGGAAGGCCAACTTGATCCAAGCAGTCATCATTGCAGCCAATGACTCTGATCAGCAACCGTCTTGGATTGATGGGATTAAGGAAGCAATTGACGATCCTGATCCAGACAAGCTCATGGATTCAGGCGATCCGAGGTTTCATTCCATCGACGCAAGATCGGGTTTAACACTGACAAAGGTAGTCACGGACAAAAGGGAACAATGTTGCTATGAAGTTGAGGACTGTATCAATGCCAAAGGAAGAACGTCCACACTCATCAAAGGAAGAGAAGTCGTCCTGGCGTGATTCTTTCTTAACTTGAAAACGACATCCAATGTTGAGGTTCTGTACACATCTACGCACTTATATCAATTGGAGTACCAGGGGGGCAGGAATTTGTCTCTATTCTTCCACACATGGGATGAGATTCTCGCAGGAATGAAGCCAACTGACATCCCAAGCGATGAACCCTGAGAGACTTGCTATGGAGAAAGATCAGGAATTCCAGCCTTTGTCTCTATTCTCCCACACATGGGATGAGATTCTCGCAGGAGTGAAGTCAACTGACATCCCAAGTGATGAAACCCTGAGAGACTTGCTATGGAGGAAGATCAGGAATTCCAGCCTGATGGCATACAATATGGTTGCATGCAATAGCCTCAATGAGGGAGATCCCAAGAAGACATATCAAAACATTCGAGACATCATCCGAAGACACATCGAAAGGCAAACTGAGGACACGATGATTCTCGAGAAAGAGAAAGCAGTCAAGAATGTTGCCACAGCGTATTCCAGAACCTGAAGCCAGGTGGCCCGGCTCCCAAGGCAAAAAGCCGCTCCAGGGCGAACCCAAGAAGCCATCGGCTGGCTTGAATGAAACAGAAGAAGCAGCCTCTGTCAAGCCTAAGCCGAATCCCAACAAACGTCCCGAAGACAAGAAAGGAAAAGGTAAGGGTGATGGCAAAGATAGAGGAAGAAGCGCGGCAAGAACCCCATCAAGAGGTCCCTCACCAGGTCGTGTTGGATCAGAGGGAACTGTCCTAAGGGGAAAGATTGCGCAAGCTCTATCATGATCCAAAGGCAGCGCCCAAGAGAGAGAGACTTCTGCAGCAGCCGATGAGGACAAGCCGAAGTCCAAGCCCAAGCCAACCGAAGCCTAAGGCCAGACCAGGAGTACCGGCAGCGGGAGACTTGTCATTCCTGGAAGAATCTGATGATGAAGGAATCGCGGCTAGTGTGAAAGTGAAGAACATGAAGAGTAGGAAAGTCTCATTCGATGATGACATTGGTGAGATCATCTTCAACGAAGCTGTGTATTCAACGAGGAATGTATGGAAGCCAGTGATCAAGAAGCCATCATTGAGACCTGATATCAAGAAGTACGACGCCTGGGAAGCCACCATTCAGACTCAAAGATCGCCGAGGCAAGAGCCATTCTCATGATTCCGAACACAGGCATCAAAGAAGTCCATACCCCAGTTGGTCCAAATGGTGACATTGCTATCGCAATGCGGTTTGATGAAGAGGACGGATTGGTCTTCGGACGCGCACTTATACCTCATGTTTGTGGCATGGCATCAAGGGTCAAGTACAAACTCTGTCAATCCCCGCAAAGGGATCCAGAGCAAAGGCCATCGTGGACACAGGTTGTGGACACGACCTCATCCCGAAGAATAGAGCCAAGAAACTTGGATTGAAGACCGAAGAGAGTGACAATCCCATGTGTGACAAACACAAATGACATTGCAAAGATCCACTTCGATGAATTTGGAACTACACACTCACCTTATGTATTGGAAGAATCACCATCAGTTCTCTCAGTTGGGAAAAAGTGCATGGAAAAGGATACTCATTTGTGTGGCCGGCAAATGGTGTGCCATACATGATTTCCCCTAAAAAAAGAAGATTCTGCCCGAGGTCGAGGGCAACGGTGAAAGTGAAGAGAAGAAGAAGAGAGAAGTATCAAGCATCGCCGGGTGAAGGTGAAGATGCTGCTCATGAGGATCCTGGAGGACGAGACGAAGGAGTAGAAGAAGATGATGCTGATGATCTTGAGGTTGATATCGTCGATGGTGCTAGCAGAGCTGAGGCGAGGACCATTCAACACCTTCTCACTCATCGGTACAAGAATCCCTCTTGTGAGTCCTGTATCCGAGCCAAGATGAGGCGCTTCAAGACCCACACAAAAGCTTTCAAGAGGAAACTCAAAGCATTTGGTGACTTAGTTACGTTTGATTTCATTGATACAAGAAGAATCATCGTGGATCAAGGCATACACACCGATCGAGAAATCTTTGTTGTTAGAGATCGGAGAAGTTCACGGCGGATGTGATCAATGCGGTCAACCACTTCAAAGGCCCACGAAAAAACAACATTCGCCTATGCAGACAAAGCCACAGAGTTTGAAGTCGCAATGAAGCAGTTGAAGATACCATTCGATCACTTGCTGCCACATCATCCAGAAAACAACTCATTGGCAGAGAGAAACAAGCAGTTCATTATGACAACTAGAACCACGTGCCTATTGGAAGCTGGCCCCCCACCTGTTTCTGGAATCATGCAGTGGAGTGTGTCAGTCATCTATTGAATCATGGCGAGAAAGCACCATTCGGTGCCAAAGTTTACTTCATGCCAAGCAGCCAGGGCAGAGTCCTTCAGAAACACAAGTTCGATCCGAAAGGGATTCGTAGGGTATTCCGGGTGTTTGCTGGTTACGAAGTGAAGCCGGGAATGAATTGGTCAAGATCAGGAAACTGGGTAAACCTCAGCTCACTGAAACCATCGTGCTCATGAATCCGACCGAATTCCCTCTCAAAGAGGAACGAAAGAACCAGCAACACCATTGAAGGAATGATGATTCGTGAATTACGAGATGGTGAACCTGAAGTCGACGGTCCTGCGGGTGATATCGATGATGATGAGAATTACACACCTACAGAAGCTGACGCTCGATGAAGACATAGATGAAGCACCCATTGACCTTGATGATGGTGACAATGGTGATGGAGGTGATGGTGGAGGAGATGATCCGAAACCTGATGATGACTCTAAGAAGACTCCTGCCGCTCCACCAAAGACCAAAGAACCCAACAATGGATCACATGTCAAAGGTTACTGCAGGCGATGGAATCATCTACCTCAATGACAGTGGTGAAACGGTGAAACTCAAAAAAGGGGCGCCCATACAAAGTTGGGAGCGATGGAAGAGGATTCTTTAGGTCATCGCCCAGGCCAAGATCAAAGTATACTCCCGAAGAGTGGAGAGCTCTACCAATACCTGACAGATCAACGCCTGACAGAGTCGTTGCCGAAAAGAAAGAAGCTCTTGAGAAGGATAAAGCAGAGACAGAAAAGGATAAAGAGAAGAAGAAGAGCAAGAAAGATGATGGTGTAGGATCAAGCAAGGACAAGAAGAAGAAGTCTAAAGGAAAGGAAGATGATGAACCTGAGGACATATCGCCAAGTATCAATTTCATCAACAAGAACATTGAAGATGTTGATGATGGCGTGGGGGAAGAAGTCCCTCGAGTGCATCAACATTGTCCACCGACCTGCCGAGCGATGATGGTTACTTGACAGAGTATGACGAAGATCTCTGAGAGTGACAATTCGACTATTTTTAAATAATTCGATGGGGCAGCCATTAGGTCCACTCACACTTTATATGTTAAGTCCGCTTAGTTTCAATAGTGATGGTTAGTACAGAGCCCTTTTCAAGCCTCGCTGCGTCAATTCGCAGCCGTCTGCGCGAGACACTTACCCTCGCCCTTGAATTTTAATGTGAAGCTTGTGTCATCAAACACAGGGGGGCTGTCAATGTAAGTGCAGTATCACGGCAACACTATATGTATAGATAGTACAGTACACGCTGTGAACAAGGCCCAATTAGCGGAAAAAGAAGCGCATCGCTTTCATTGAAGCTTATGGACACATAGGATAGCCGTGGAACTTTCAAGGAGCCAGGCTTAATAGTCACTCGCATGATTTTTACATCACACATAGGGTGTTCAAGGAGGAGTTTCTACCTTGAACAGCATTTTGGTACTAGACCGCTGGACATGCTTTTTACCAACTCTTGTCTTGTCTGTGTCTATGAGAAGAAAACTTAACAAGCGAGCAACGTAACATAACTTTCTCGTGCGCGGTGTTGCAGATAGAGACCTTGAATGCGCACGCATTTGTTCAGCAGCTTATGGGCAGCTTAAGCTTGTGGTGCTGAATAAGACTGGTAGTCATCATTCACCTTGTTTCAGTTCCAGGTGCATCATTCAACGCCTTCCCGTTCAACCTCGGAGGCTGGGAGATGTTTCCGGCGGGCCTTCGAGCGTTGGCTTTGACTGGGTCAGCATTTGTGGAGTGCGTGGGGTGGTTCAGTGCAACGGGCGTTGTCCCCTCACAGGGCTCTATTGCGGAGCGATCGCCGCGCAGCGCATCTTTCAGTCTTCCGCCCTCTGCCATGATACTTGGAACGAATGTGATTTTGTGATTTGGCATGAGGCACCAAGGCCATGACAAGACCCGATGATAAGACTGCGTGGGTTTGAATTTGTAGAACCATTTGTTGGGTGCCCGATAAACGACCAATTCTGGGCACCTTGAATGTGATCCAGAGAAAGAAGGTGATCAATATGTTCCAAAGTTTTTTGGAATTCCAGATGGCGCCTCAGTAGAGTGTGGCGTGTCTCCACTACGCGCGCAGCCAGCGCCAGCGCTGCGCCGGCGCGGCTCACGGCGCCAGCGCCAGCGCCCACGCCGGCGCCCAGTCAGCTCACAGCGCCCAGCACCAGCGCCTGGCAGCGGCGCCCTGTCTCCACCGCACACAGCTCACAGCGCCCAGCACCAGCAACCGCAGCGCCCAGCGCCCGCCGGCGCCCTGTCTCCACCACGCACGCAGCCAGCTCACAGCGCCACCCAGCACCAGCGCCCAGCACCGGCGCCCTGTTTCATAGCCAGCTCACAGCGCCCAGCTCCCGGCACCGGCGCCGGCGCCCTGTCTCCACCACGTCCACAGCCAGCGCCCAGCGCCCGCACCATGTCTCCACCACGTGCGCGCACAGTTCACAGCACCGGCGCCCGCACCTTGTCTCCATCACGCGCACAGCCAGCACCCAGCAACGGCGCCCAGCCAGCGCCAGCGTCCGGCACTGGCACCCTGTCTCAAAAGCCCGCGCAGCAAGCTCATTGTTATATCTGAGGAAAAACTGTTGCTATTTGCAGTCATCTGAAAGATGAAGCTTGTCAGGTAACAAGGCGCGGGCTGCCCTTTGGGGTGAGTCATGCAGGGTCCACTGTTGCTTGCTGCGCGACATGGATACTGAGGATGAGCTGGCGCAGAATGCGTTTGCCACAGCTTGCCCACACACAGACACAGACACACATTGATATTTTTCAGTTATGTCATGTTATGTCATGTCATGTCATTTAATTTTGTTTAGAAACAAAGAGGTAATGTAATGTAATGTTACAGCATGGCGTTTATGCTATGCGATGTGATGCTGTGCCATGCCATGCCATGCCATGCTGTATGTAATGTAGTGTAGTGTGATCTTATGTTATGTTATGCAGTGTAATCTCTGTAATGTAGGTATGGTATGGTGTGTATGGTATGGTTTCGTATGGCATGCATGGATGTATGTACGCGTGACCGTATGTACGTACGTATGTAGGTATGTATGTGTGTATGTGCGTCTGTCTGTCTGTCTGTCTGTATGTACGTATGTATGTATGTATGTAAGGTAGGTATGTATAGTATGTAGGGTATGTAGGTAGGTATGTATGTATGTATGTGTGCATGGTATGTATGGTATGTGTGGTATGTATGGTATGTATGGCAAGTATGGTATGAACGTTCTGTTTGTAATGTCTGAATGAATGTGTGTGTATAATGTATATGATGTGTGTAATATATGTAATGTATCTAATGTAGTTTGCATTGTATTGTCACAGTATTGTTTTGTCTTGTCTTGTCGTGTATCGTGTCGTATCTTACCGTATGGTACGGCATGGCATGGTATGGTATGGTATGGTAGCATGTATGTATGTATGTATGTATGTATGTATGTATGTGTGTCTGTATGTATGTATGTATGCATGCACCGACCGCCGGGGGCCCCCGACCACAACCTACACATCGGACATGTGTATCAGTGTTTGCGAGGTTTCAGGTGGTTTCAGGCGCTTTGGAAGCAGCGTAGGCTTGAAAAATATTAGCTCCGCTTCGCGTGCGGGAAGTCCGCCCGGACCGGAATGCAGCCCGTTCCACACACTTGTATTCAGCGCATGATGATTGTTCCGCCATCTTGAACCTGTGTGGTGCTGCTCCACCACGATGACTGGCTGAAGCCAGTGTTTATAGACAGCCCAAACACACCCCCAAACATGCCGATATTGGGCTCATATTGAGCTTTAGCTTTGGTTTCTTATTATTCTTTTTCTTTTGCTCCTTCCCCATCTTCTTGTTCTTCTGTTTTCTTCTTCGTTGCCTTCTTCTTTCTTAAAATTGGTAAAAGGGAAATGCGCAGAAACCAACACACACGGTTAATAACGCAGTGTCATCCCACTAACATCATCAGAAGGCTATGCTAGGCTATGTTGAACCCATGTTTGCATTTTTGGGGTCGCTCTTCAAAAAACATCAAACGACATGTCCAACCAAGCTAGGGCTCAAAGCTCCTGCGAATGCTTCCGGATAATGCGTGCGTGGGGATCACGCAGGGCACCTTCGGTGCGGGCGGATTTGAGGCCCCCTTTGACTCACACGGGGGGGGTGGAGCCAGCCATACACGTCGTCAAGGCGATCAATTACATGCATCAAACACCCCTCCAAGATGAACGGTTGCTAGTCCTAGACAGAACTTGCAACAACTTAGCGACTCGCATCTTGCATTCAGTTCAAACTCAGTGTGCCAAGGACTGACCACATTCGCTCCTATGGGAGCTCCACACCACGGAGCCGACCAGCAACCCCAACATCAGGGCCAGATGTTTCACCATCGGAGATTTGGCAGATTTGGCATCAACATTTTGTTCTAACAGAGCTGCTACAGAAGTTTACACTCCAAACCATCCTTGCACTAGTTGTGCGTGCAGTCAGGATTGTT